CTTGACATAAAAGATGCAACCATTTGCATATTGAATATACCAAAATAATTTTTTCTATACCAATTATCTCAATATTTAAATCATGTTAAGTTAATGTAAGGAATTGCCTTGAACGGCATAATTATTAACGGTGAAAAAATTTAACTTAAGATTATAAACATATAAATAAGAGAAACATATACTATATTGCATGCATATAAGATAAATGACTAATCATAAATATGTGTAATATAAATGCAATTATCTAGTAAATGTAAACTCTATAATTTAAGTTATCGATCAAACATCAACTATTATCTATACAAATCTACCATTATCAGGTAGTCAACAAAAACATCAAACTTCAATGTCATTGCATGACATCCACTGCAACACTCTGGACTTATCTTTGTCCTACTCTCATACCATATATAATCATAGTTCAAATCATATGAAAATATGCAAGGTTAAACTAGAATAAAAAGAAACAATATATATGCAACATAAGAATAATACATCATCATCTCATCTCTAACAACAACTCAACACAAGGCCTCACATTATACAACGCATATCATCGCGACAACTTAGTTTCAACACATTTTATTACAAATCAATACAGCATATAAACAACACAATCAACTCAACACATCATATGTTTAATACAACAATTATATGTATCGTCACACATTTCAACTAGGAGATCTCTTACAACATAGGTTTAAGTGGCTTGACCTTACTAAACCGGCAATACAAGATGATCTCTTTGGGCTTGCTAGATCAACAATAAATTGGATACAAATCCACAATACAACAACTTAGTTTCTTGGATGTTGCCACTTAAATAAGGAAGTTTACTACTACGTACTATCAAGGTAAAATAGTTGGGTATAGGCCTACCATGGCATTAGCTAGCTTAACTAAGTCTCATATGAGATTAACCTACCAACTATCCTTCAAATACTAAACTTTTTTTATACTTGGTTAAGAACTAAGTTTTTGACTTCAAACTTTACTCGATTGTTCATTTATAATTAGTATAGCTCAATATATAGCCCCTATACTATGGTCAGTTCATAGAGGTGTGCCTCAACCTTGGCCATACACGATACCAACAAAGTCTTAGAGACGAAACAACATAGTATCCAATTCAAGGGTCAACTTTCCAATAAGAATTTTTCAATAAATTGAGATCTCAGAGCACCATAACACAATATCTACAGAATGGAATATGCAACTTTCAAAAACTTCTCCTTTAGCCCTAAGTGATCAACACAGTTCAACAATACGAAAACTCTTTATATATTCAACACAACAACGAAATCAACATACAATTTTATATTTCACAACTCAATCATCACTACTTATATTCAATTTGTTAATCAACATACATCTCAACAACACATCATATATCCAACACAACTACACAGTCGATATACAACTTTGTTAACACATAACGTACAACTCATATCTACTTCTCAACTAATGACTATAACATAATCATCACATACTACTTCATCAACTACATTATATTTTTCTTCAGCCATGAGTGCCTGGTGTTACTCATCACTAGTGGAAAAAATATTTTTAAAATCGGTCATTTTTTACTTTTAAAATCAGTTCTTTGACCGATTTTAAAAGAGCCGATTTTAAAAAGTGGCATTTTTAACATTGGTCATGCATCAACCAATTTTAAAAGTAAGACTTTTAACATCGGTCATGCATAAACTGATTTTAAAAGTTAGACTTTTAAATTGGCACAGGTCATTCCAGTTTCCTCAAAAGGCCTAAAACTGTAGTCTAGAACGGCCCGTACTGCATTTAGAACGGCCCGTTCTGGTTGCAGTACGGCCCATACTGTAGTCAGAACGGGCTATTCTGATTACAGAACAGGCCGTTCTAATTGTAGTACAGGCTGTTCTGATTGGAGAACGGCCCGTACTGCAACTAGAATGGGTCGTTCTGACTGCAGAACGGGCCGTTCCAGATTCAAAATTTACGAAAATGCAAGACATGAGAAAAAAATTAGAATATTACCTTGATATAGTCTTGCAAATAAAATGAGAAGCTAGGGACTTTAAATGTGAGTGCGAGAGAGAGTAAAGAAAAAAATGGAGAAAAGGATTAAAGAGAATAGAGGGAAAGATCAAAGAGAATGGAGGGAAAGTGAATAAATATAATCATTGACATTTTTAAAATTGATTATTTAAGAACCGATTTTAAAAGTGCTACTTTTAAAATCGGCTCTTACTTAATTAAGTAGCTGATTTTAAAAGTAGCATTTTTAAAATCAGCTCTTAAGGAGCCAATGTTAAAAGTAGCTTTTAAAATCGGTTCTTAAGTAGCTAATTTTAAAAGTAACATTTTTAAAATCGGTTCTTATGTAACCGATTTTAAAAGTAACATTTTTAAAATTGGCTCTTGAGTAGCCAATTTTAAAAGTAACACTTTTAAAATCGGCTACTTAAGAACCGATTTTAAAAGCTACTTTTAACATCGGCTCCTTAAGAACTGATTTTAAAAGTTGCATCAAAGACCTTTTAAAATCGGTTAAAAGGTAGCCGATTTAAAAAGTAATGTCATTATTTACAAAATTGCCACCGTGTCACTTTTAACATCGGCTACTTAAGAGCCGATTTTAAAACCCCGATTTTAAAAGTAATTTTGGTACTAGTGCATCTTGCACCCAACACCATTTAAGCAGGGAGTTCTCTACCTCGCCTATGCCCAACATTATACAACCCACACCTAGTGTGATAAAGATAGAGGTCCTTGAGACCTCGTGCCTAACTTGGTAAACTACCATGCTCATCCTTATCTCAAGCAGAGAGTTTTTGCTCGACTCTCGCCTGACGTCACCACATAGCCACTCAATTTGGGCCCGACGTCACCAGTTAAAGAACTCTCAAGGTTCCCACACCCAATGTTATTCAAACCATGCTCGAAGTCGTGCCAAGCTGAGACAAGTCTCTCTTTTCACGGTCGGGGCCACCAATCTTGCACTCAACATGATCGAGATAGAGAACCTCAAGTTAGAACAACATCCAACGCCTTGAAGGTGCACCTTGGGCAACTTGAGAATTCTACATATGCAGAATTCGATTTTGAGCCACAACTTGAAATCCAACAAAGATTCAACATATGCAACATCAAATAGCACTTACACACATCAGAACCAACATATTTGCACTCAAAATCAACATGCAACCACAATCAATTCAAATTATCGCATTCTTCCTCAAGAACTCAAAACCCTAATTTTCATCACACAACCCACTTTGATGTAATCAACTACAACCATGAATTGCAAGGAATTCACACAACATCTAACACCAAAATCATTCCACAACTCCAACATATAACAATGACGACATGAATCCAACTTATTCCCTTACCTCGGGGCAACACAAAGCTGATGTAGAAGAAGAAGAGAAACATCAACTCCGAACAACTACATGGTTGATTCAAGGTTCCTACTAACCTAAATCACAAACAACACAACTTAGAAAAGGGTTGGAAGAAGAAGAAAAGGAGATTGAGAGAAAAAGAACTCATGAACTAGATACTTTCTCTCTGAATCCTCTCTTTAGACTTTTAAAGTAAATGAGTTTATGAGACTTTGTTCAAAATAGAAACCTTATATATTCTTTCCTCCAGGTCAAATTGGTTCTTTGTCCAAATAAACCCCTCTCTCAACACCACCAAAACTCTTAAGGGATCCTTAAATCTCAGATCTCTCAATACTGATTGACAAATCGCTTAGCAGTATAAAGCAATTATGAATAACATAACATTATCATAATTTATAGTATTCAAGTTAGTAACTTCAATCAACAACATGATTTGAACTTTTGTAAACAGTTCATTCGTAAATTATAAAAAAAATAAAATACACTATGTATTAGTCAAGCGGTTTCTTTAAGGCTGAAATATAATTTACGACATATGACTTTAAGCAAAAAAAAAATTGAACGTGCCTATGCACTTTACGCAATATTATAAAAAGTCATGATTTCAATTTTTTCTTTAGAAAAGATTCATGATTTTAATTTTGATTGATCATTAATTTGTAAACTTTTTATACAATCATTCAGTTATACTTTACGTTCACTATATATATCACTAACTAATTTAATTTATTAGATAGTTGCTCTCATCTTTAAAGTTCTTTTTTAATGAAATATATATATATATAATTTTTTTTTCATTATGAAAGAGTATTTCTTGTTAAACACAGGATAATTTTTTTTAAGATTTAGTATAGATACTAAATAGATAGATATCTCCTTCCAATTTAAAATTTCCATATTCACAAAACTCAGGATTCAAACCCTGATCTTTTGATTAAGTGACATGAGAATAAATAAGATTTGGAGTAACAATAACTTGAAATAAAACTCTTTTTTTGGTTGAATATAAATTTCGATTATATGAATTATATTTTATTGCACTACGATCTTTTATTTAAAATATTTATGGAAGTGTGATGATTTTTTAAATTTATTAATATTAGAATAATAACATAGAAAGTAATAAGCGTTAGAAAATAGAAATTGATAGGAAAATGGTTTGGGTTTGGTGAGGTGAAGCGTGTCTGTCGGGTTTTCACTTTTTGGTCTGTGTTGGGGGTTATTATTATGAAGGAGTTAAATAATTTATGTGTAGATAGCTTTTTGGCTTTGTCTGGGTAAAAGTTTGCATAGGAACAGGATAGTTGCATCCACATAGCCCATAACATATCCTTTTCGCCCCTTTCACACTCTCACTCTCACCCATTCACTTTGAGTTTGACCCCTTGCCAGCCAGTAGCCACCAACGCGACCCCACCCTCTCTCTTCAATCTTCATCTCCTCCCTCTTTTTCTGCGCACCCCCTTTTCTTTTCTTTTCCCTTTCCCCCTTTCCTCAAAGGCTCAAACCCTAATTCACCTTCTTCGAGATCTACATGTCACATGTGCCTTTCCCCTTTTTATAAAGATTTCTCTACAATTCCTCTCACCACTTTTGCTTAATTTCCAAGCTATGGATTCTGGCAACAGTGCAAGTATCTCCTCTAGTGGTGACGAAGAATACGATTCACGCCCTCACAACACACTACTCCCTTCAACCTTCCACCCTTCCCAATTCGCCTCCATCTCACACCCCTCTTTCTTTGATCTCTCCTCAACCGGCTACCTCCCCAACTCCTTCCTAAACCTCGACACCGCCACCTCATCATCCTCATCCCAACCTCGGAGATCCCAACCCGATTGCACCCTTAACGCTAACGTCACCTCACCACCCAACATGAACCAATGTTTGTTGCCTCCTCCAGCCGCCGATAATGCAAGACCGGTGCTATCCTCACCCCAGGCCAACACCAACGTTGCACGAAACTCCAAGAAGAGAACAAGAGCTTCCCGGAGAGCACCCACCACGGTTCTCACCACCGACACTTCCAATTTCCGAGCCATGGTTCAGGAGTTCACTGGAATCCCTTCACCACCTTTTTCTGCTTCTTCCTCTTACTCTCGCAGGCTCGATCTTCTCACTGCTTCAACAACGCCTCCTTTCTACCCTTTGCGTCCTTCACCACAAAAGGTACAACATCATCATCATCATCATCAAAATCCATTGCTTTTATCTTCCTCATCGTCACCTTATAATAACATGGTTGATGCTATCGCTTCCACCACCACCACCATCACCAACAACAACAACAATTCCTCATCCAATAACAACAGCAACAACCCCATTAACTACCAACAACAACTACCTCCTGATTTGGGTCTACCCTATCCTATGCTCAACATGCAAAACCAAAACCACCCTACTCTTGCATTTCACCCACCTCTTCACCCTTTTGGCCATCCAGGGTTTAATGCAAAGTTGCCATCCATTGAGGATCTGGGTATGAGCCATGCTCAAGTGAATAACAACAATACTGCAAATTTTGTTGCAAGTGGCGTTTCGCTGCCACTGAGGAGTGTTAACCACGGTGGAGGAGGAGGAGCAAGTGATGTTTCGTTAAGGTCCTTGGATGGTGGTGGTAGCTGCAAGTTGAATTTTTCTGCGGCTTCTGCGTCCACTAGCTTGAACCATGAGAAGAGCACCTTACAGAATAATAATAACAACAACGCTACTACTAGAGGGGAAGGTAACGTGGATTCCTGGATTTGTTCTTCTGATTAGACTAAACCGGTACACAAAACTTGTTATCATTACACCGTAGAATATGATGCTGCAATGAATTAAGATCGTGATCATGATGATGTTGATGATAGTGGATGTTGTTGGTGGTTAGAATTTGCAGCTAACATCTTTCTTTTCTTTTCTTTTTTCTTTTCCTTCTTTTTCTCTTACTTTTTTTTATTTTAAATATTTTGATATTGTCAAAATAGTAAGTAGCCGCCGGTAAGAGATTAATTTAATCATGTATGATATATCTGTAAATTAAATACTTTCCTTAGTTTTTATATATATACTTCAATCGATGATGATCACCAAATGATGTTTAGTGTTATTGCAGAAATGGTAGTTCTCGCATATGATTGTACGTTGATTAGCGATTTATAATGTTACTGGTGATGATATATATTGAAATATTGTATGTTATTGGGATTATTGGGAATCCATGATTTAGAATAGTTTAATGCTAAAGCGAATCTGCGGCTAAAATCCTCAATAATAATAAGAAAATCTGTTCCTCGTACGAACCCTTGTCTAGTGCTTGCTATATATAAGAAAACATTAAGAAGCACACTGTTCATAAATAGATAAGTCGGTGAGTGGCTGAGTGATGCCATCAACTAAGGAGAGCATCATCGATAAAAGGAGAGAGAAATTATGTTTGTATTTTGCAGGTTCGAATGCTCCTTGTATTTCGGGTTCTAGTTTCTGCCCAAGGTTGAAAGGATCATCTCTCTCTGTCTTTGTTGTCCAAATGTGTGTAACCTGTGAAATTTTCCATAGGTTTATAGTTTGTACCCAACTTTTGTCTTCGTCTTTCATTCTCTTCTGTTTCTTCTACGTCTTTACGTGGCCGTCAAATGTGAACTCTTCTGGGTTTCGTTGAATGTTCAATTGTGCATCGTCCGATTACTGTCTTAATTTGACGTAAGGCTGATGAAAATCAATACCAAAATGTGTAGCTTCTTGTACTATTATTTACGTGATATGATTTGTTCAAAAGACTCGAGTATGTGGCTGGTGTTTTTTTCTAAAAGAGTTATGTTATTATATAATATAATAATACTACCTTTTATTTTCTGTTTTTCTCTACATTTATCTCCTTTTTATATATACAAAATATTCTGCAAAAAAGAATTATATAAATATATATAACTTTTCTTTCCATCATGCTTATTGCTTTTAGGTCTTGGATGATGTTAGAATAATATTTTCTTGACAAAGATTGTCCCAAAATTCTTATTTTCACCAATCTAAGCTTGTTTTTATTTTTACTTTTTTACTATTCAGTATTAGACTATTAGTGCCTATATTTTGTTTTCAACGGAGAATAAATATAATTTAACGTATTATAATAATGATGCTAGAGTCTATATATTGAGACACACCACACGCTAGTGTTGTATGCCAAATTTTAAATAAATAACAATTATGACGAATAAATCTACCTTTGAACCATAAATTAATTGCTTTAGCATTAGAAGAAGATAACAAAATTTGCCTAATATAGTCATATTCATAATTCTAATGGTCTATGCCTTGGATTTGCGTTTTTCTATTTTTTTTAATGCTTAAAACGTAGGTTTAGAATTTTGACTGTTTTTATGTTAGATTTTAGTTAAAACTCAAATTTTACTTCGATAAGACACTGAATAAAATTTAACTTTAAAAATCTACATTAATTATTAAAAGAAAACTGGATGTTTAAATGATGAACTATATGAAAATAATTTAAAATTTTGTGCCTTTAAGTTCCCTGTACTCTCTCGCAAGACTTGGTACGTGATGACTTTGTGCTGCTTTTAAGTTTTCATTACAATCGGAGGATATTTCTTGGAAACAAAATTCTATTAATGGATGAAAGATATATTCCATCGTACGTTTGTTGTGTTGCTACTCTTCCTTGATTTTAATTTATTTTGTCTTACTTTTCAACGACGAATGATATTTGCTTGTGGAGCAATTGGTGGCAAGATTAGTGGCTTCTTTTACCTTCATCAATTATAAAACTTTACATCCTTCAAAATTATAACCATGTATATGCCTCTCAAAACTGCTAGATCTACAAAGTTATTAGAAATGGATTCGTATTACAGCCTAACTTTTACATATAAAATTTGAATTTCCCAAAAGAGTTTTATTAAACTGTCATCTATATATAAACTGTTAGTATGAAATAAGCATGTAATTTCACTGTCAAAGAACTAGTTCATAAGTGGTATTTTGTGTTTTAAAATATCAATTGACAGGTAATTTTATCTGGACTATTAAAAGAATCGCGATGCAAAAAGAAAACAAAAGGAATCACGTGAAGAACTAATAGTATTTTTTTTCTTTCAAATAAAGTGGTTGTCTACAATGTTTTTTTTAAATACATCCATATAGTTGTAACTTTTTAATTAGTTCTAAGTTTTGTAGTTTTTGACATATATACCACCAGCATGACTAAATCGAAAGAAAAATGTTAACCTGGATGACGTGGCATTCATCAATCTTGTTCATTGGCACAATCTAGGGTAAACATCAGCAGG